GACACCCCCAAAGCTCCTCTCACCCCCCCAGCCCCCCGATATCCCTCACAGCTCCCCTGACACCCCCCCAAACCCTTCCTCCCCCCCAAGCCCCCCCATCTTCCCCCCAGTCCGCGCCCCCCGGAGCCCTCACGCTTGTCGGGCACTTCCTCGCCCTCGCAGCGCAGCTCGAAGAGCCGCAGCTCCCTCAGCACCGCCTCGGCCGTCACCGCCTCCGGGCCCGGCTCCGGCTCCGGCTCCATCCCCGGCTCCGCCATGGCCGCGCTCGAACCGCGCGGGCGCGGCCCCGTGATGGGGAGGGCGTGGCCAAGCCGTATAAGGAGAGAAGGCGTGGCGAAGGCGGGATAAAAGGTGTGGTTATTCAGATTTAGACAAAACGGACCAATAGAAGCACGATGGGCGGGCGAAGAGGCGGGACCGACGTGCTCCAAGCACCGCCCACCAGGGGTGGGAGGGGAAAAGGGCGGGATGAAAAAAGGGCGGGAAAATTCGCGCCCTCAGAGCGCTGAGGGGGCGGGGCTGAGGCGGCTCTGAGGGAATGGAACCGGCCTGAGGGGGGGAACAGGGCCTGAGGAGGGGAACAGGGTCTGAGGGGCAGAACCAGGTCTGAGCAGGGAACTGAATCTGAGGGGGGGAACAGGGTCTGAGGAGGGGAACAGGGTCTGAGGGGGGAACCGGGCCTGAGGGGCAGAACCGGGTCTGAGGGGCAGAACTGGGCCTGAGGGGTCGAACCCGGCCTGAGGGGTGAAACCGGGTCTGAGGGAGGCAACTGGGTCTGAGCGGTAGAACCGGGCCCCTGGGAGGTCCTGCTCAGGCCTGGGGGTCGCACCTGCCCCGGGGATTCTGCCCCGGGCCCGGGGTCCCCTCCCTGCCCGGCCCTCATCCCCTCTGAGTCACAGCAGCCTCGTCCTGCACCCCCCGCCCAGGAGACACCGCCGGGTTTTAAGTTACAACCACCAAAACATCCCAAAAAGATATTAATATAACTCCAAATATGTGATCTATAACCCCAAGACAACCTCTAAACCTGTTATTTTGCAGTACCTTGAGACCCACTCACCCCCCACCTTGAGGGGGAGAAAGAACTGCCAGAAAAGAGTTTTGACTTAAATAACTTTTTTTTTTTCCTTTGGTTTTTATCCCATTTTTAATTTATACAATAAAAAATCACTTTATGGCACCCGGGGGCAGCAGATCCCTGAAGCGAAGGACGACGGCCGGGGCTCCGTCAGCACAAGAGGCACCAAAATCCAGAGGATTTGTCCCAAAAGGGCCGAGCGTGAGGTGAGGGAGGGACAGGGGGCTTTGGCAAAGCTCGGGGGGGGTCCCATGTGACCCCCACCCCACCCCCCCATCCAGCCTTTTCTGCCGAAAAAAGCTAAAAAAAGGGAAAAACCGGCGCGGGGTCCTGGAAGGCACTTGGAGAGTCCGGTCAGGCGAACATGGTGAGCTGGAGCCACTGGGGAGGAGGAGGAGGAGGAGGGTGAGGGAGGAAGGGGAGCAGGACAGGGTGAAGAAAGTGGGGGAAAGCAAGAGGAGGGAGAGGAGGAGGAGGAAGGGGAGGAGGAAGGCCTCGAGCTCTTCCTGGTACCTGCAGCAGGTCGAAGGTGACGACGCCATCCTGGTCCACGTCCATGGCTTGGAAAAACCCTGAGGGGAGGGAAAGGTGGGGAGAAAGTTCCATTTGTGAGGGAAAAGAGTGGCTGGGAGGGGTGGGATGATTCGGGATCAGGGTGGGAGGGATGGTTTGGGATCACTGGGGATCTGGGAGGGATCATTGGGGATCATTGGGGTTGTTTGGGATGGGGTGGGAGGGACCATTTGGGATCATTGGGGTTGTCTGGGATTGGGTGGGAAGGATCATTGGGGATCACTCAGGACTGCATATGAGGGATCATTTGGGATCATGGGGGATTGGGGTGGGAGGGATCGCTTGGGATCATTTGGGTTTACTGAGGATTGCATGGGAGGGATTGTTTGGGATGATTGGGGATCACTCAGGACTGCACAGGAGGCATCATTTGGGATCATCAGGGATCACTCAGGACTGCACAGGAGGGATGCTTTGGGATTTGGGTGGGAGGGATCGTTTGGGATCATTGGGGTTGTCTGGGATTGGGTGGGAGGGATCGTTTGGGATCATTGGGGTTGTCTGGGATTGGGTGGGAGGGATCGTTTGGGATCATTGGGGTTGTCTGGGATTGGGTGGGAGGGATCGTTTGGGATCATTGGGGTTGTCTGGGATTGGGTGGGAGGGATCGTTTGGGATCATTGGGGTTGTCTGGGATTGGGTGGGAAGGATCATTGGGGATCACTCAGGACTGCATATGAGGGATCATTTGGGATCATGGGGGATTGGGGTGGGAGGGATCGCTTGGGATCATTTGGGTTTACTGAGGATTGCATGGGAGGGATTGTTTGGGATGATTGGGGATCACTCAGGACTGCACAGGAGGGATCATTTGGGATCATCAGGGATCACTCAGGACTGCACAGGAGGGATGCTTTGGGATCCTCTGGGATCCTTTGGGATGGTCGGGGTGCTCACGGAACATGGTCTCCAGGCGCACGAGGCAGCAGACGAAGCTGTCGAAGTCCAGGGCCAGGTCGGGCTCGGCGTAGCGGGTGATGAGCAGCTCGTGCAGCCTCTTGTTCAGCCGGTACCCTGGGACAGGGGACAGCCGGGGGGTCACCTGGGGACCCCCGGGAAGGGCAGGGGTCCTGGGGGGGGGTCCCGGGGGTCACCTGCGGCCTCCAGCGCCAGGCGCAGCTCGTAGGCGCTGATGGAGCCCGACTTGTCCAGGTCGAACTTGCGGAAGATGCTCTGGCAGGAACAGCCCCCAAAGGGCCAAAATCAGCACCCAAAGGGGCAGGGGTCACCCAAAACATCAACATGTACCCCAAAATCAGCACCCAAAGGGGCAGGGGTCACCCAAAACACCCCCATGGACCCCAGAATGGAGACCACCCATGAAGAAAGACCTCAAAATCTTCACCCCACACCCCAACAGCCCCAAAAAAGGGGGGAAAACAGTATGAGGGGGTTTCCCATGAGGAGAGAGACCCCAAAACCCCCTAAAAACGGGGGTCACCCATGAGAGAGACCCCAAAAGCCCTCCCCCC